TTTTCACTGTGATATATATAATTATATACAAAAAATGTCCTATATAAATTGCTACATATAAAAACAAAAATATATAAAAATGCCAATTAATGTTTTGTTCTTAGAAGTATCTATGCCAAAGAGTAAATCATAGTCCTCGTAATTGCTGGTCAGAGTTCATCCAAAAAGTCCGCTACTTTTATTAATAATTATATTTATAGTTTAAAATGATGATTATATATAAGACAGTTTTTCCATTATCGTTTTCTTTTAATAAACTAATAAACTTACTTGTAACACATACGTTTTAAATCTATCAAACGCAGAATTCAATTCTGCAAATGGCCAATAGTTTTACGTTTTGAGAAGAAAATAATAAAGAAGAATAGTTACATTATCGACACGACGTAGTTGTGGACTACTAGTTCGTACGGCGCCCGTTGGAGCTACGAGCAACCCCCCCGCTTGCCCTCCGATTTCCGCGCCTACTCCGCGAATTTTTGACGCCGTGTGTACGTAACGCGCTTGTTCCGTACGACAACGTTTTTCGATATTAGGCTGCGTTCCGATATTAACTGCCACTACTGGAAATCTATAGCACATGTGACGTGAAGCATAGATGTTTAGCACTGGCAGTGAAAAATATGGAAACGCAGTTTTGTAATCTTGTAAAAAAACATATTCAAATAAAATATTCACATAACATATTTGTATGAATTATTAATATGACAGTGAAAAAAAGATTTTAGAATATTAATATAATAAATTAGAATATTAAATTAGAATATTAATATAATAAATATATATATATTTGTTAACATTAAACTTTTTTTATAAAATACTTAATGAAACTTATCGTATAATTACGAACAGTACTTAAAATTTAGAAGACATATAATATGTAATATACATATATATGAATCATTTACTTAATAAGATTATTTGCATCTAAAATGTGATATTTGTCTAATCATATTAAAAAAACAAAAGTATATGTAAATATGTAAACTAATATAATATAAAATATTTTATGTAATACATATTATTAGTTAACATGTATATATTTTTGCATATATATATCTTTATTTTCTATATTTAAATAACGAAAAGAAAATCCCAGTTTATAGATGCATAATCTTAAAATATTTGATTATTATAAATTTTATAATGATGTGTTTACTTTCGACGCGCGGACGCGCGCGGTCTTCACTCTCCGCTCGTTTCGCACATTACGATCCTTATATGTTGACAGCCCGATTTGTCGAATTAGTTGACAATAAAGCGTTTTTTTATCAAAATAGAGTTTCATCTCGTGCAATTTTTGATAGCTCTCGACACAGTCGTTATATGTAATCAAAACTTTGTCTCACCGAGTTCTTTCATAATTTTATATTATATTAGTTAAGTTTTATCCACAAACCGGGCAACCTTTTCAGGATAATCATTTCTACCATCAACAGTCCACTACACAATCTTGCAATTTTTTTACACAAAATAATTTCAAAAAATCTCAAACCTCCTTCAAGCTTTGTTTATAATAGCTTCCATCTTGCGAGTCGGATCTCTGAAGTTACATTTGATGAAACATTTGAGTTAATCTCTCTCGATGTTATGTCTTTAATCACTAACATTCCAATTGATCTCGCAATAAAAGGACTAGAAAAAAGATGGCATTTGATTAATGTTAACACTACTCTACCTAAAGAAGAATTCTTTTCAGCTCTCAATTTAGTCTTTAACTCTACATTTTTCCTTTTTAATGACAAATATTACAAACAGACCTTTGGCGCACCAATGGGCTCTCCTCTTTCTCCAATTCTAGCAGACATAGTCATGCAGGATCTAGAAGCATTTACCATTAGTTCTCTATCTTTTATTCCTCTTCTACATGTCAGATATGTAGATGACATTGCTCTTATGGTTTTCCGTGATCAGTTTGATGTCGTTCTAAAACATTATAATTCATATCATCCACGACTTCAGTTTACTATCGAAGTTGGTTTTGATAGACTTAACTTTTTGGACATTACAATTATAAAGAGCAATAATAGATTAATACATGACTGGTACCACAAGCCAACATTCTCAGGCAAATATCTAAATTATTTTTCTAACCACCCTATCTGCCAAAAAAGAGGCACAGTTATGAGTCTCATTGGCAGAGCTTTCTTTTTATCACACCCTCAATTTTATTCTAAGAACTTTGACTTGATTTTTAATATTTTAATTGACAACAATTATCCTTGTGACTTCATTTTTAACATTTTTAAACAGAGACTAAAACATAATTTTTTTAAAAACAATGACTTAAGAAAGTTTTTGTCAAACCATACTCAAAAAGAAGAGCCGATTCGTTGGTTTGTGATGCCTTATATAAATAATTTTTCTGACAAATTTTTAAATATTTTTCCTAAAGAGACTAATACTCGTTTTGCTTTTTACGGTATTGACAAATTGTCTAGATTTATCAATGTTCTCAAAGATCCTCTTTTAGTACTTCAACGTCCTTCCGTAGTATATAAAATAAAGTGTCGTGATTGTGATGCATCCTACATCGGACAGACCCGCAGAATGTTACATTTGAGAATTAATGAACATAAGAATCATATTAAGAGAAATTCCTCACGAAGATCAGTGATTACGGATCACAGGATTCATTATTCTCATGAATTTGACTGGGACAGTGTTAAAATATTAGACAACGAGAGATCATATAATAAACGTTTGATATCAGAAACTTTATACATAAGAAGACAAAGACGTGGACTCAATTTACACAGTGACACTGAAAATCTTGACAGATCCTATTTACCATTCGTTGATAACAAATTTTAATATAGTGACTTGAGAATTGATAGCGGCTTTGACTTCTATTCGAACCAACACCCTACCTTCGGTTCTTTCAGTTACTTTGTAACTCGCTGAGCGTAATCATGTGAACATTGTGTTAAAGCTTGACTCAAGAACTTGTTAACTATGTCCACACGTACGTGATAAACACCAATATTTGTTTGTAAGTCTTTTTAAATTATTGTTAGTTTCTTATGAGTTTTAACATTTAATTATTTTTGTAGATTTATATTGAAAAAGGCCTAATTCGAAGGCCGAAAACGTTATATTAGTTTTTTTTCTCAAATAAAGTTACACATTACGTATACATCATCAGCAGTGTTTTGCTTCAAACAACCATTGTCAATGACTTAACATTATTTAATTTTTTAATATATATATAGTATAAGAAATAATATATAATGTAATTTTATTATAATAGGCAACACAATGAACGTCTGGCATTACGCCAGATAAACAAGTTTTGTTTTTTGTTTTGCTGAAACTTGACGAGTGATAAGACAAACTTGATGTTTTTTGTATTATTGCAGCAATATAAACTTTTTGGATTTTTTTACTTTTTTATATGTTGACAAAATGACAATGTAGTTTACAAATGCTTAAACTTACATCAGTGCTTTGAAAGGTAGCAACTGACTCTGGCGATATTCTGTGAACTCTGGCAGAGGTTGTTTTTTTCACATGATATCTACGAACTTGACGGTCTTTCTCTTCAACGTTGTCGATTATCTGATTGCTGATCTGATGTCGGTTGTTCAAATCCGCGACTAATTGACGTTTTCGTCGCCTCTCTTTTAAACTTTTAAGAGCGCGAGTCATTGATTCAGCAAACTCGATATTAGTTGGTCGACAGTAGTCACGATTTCTAGCCATTGCATCTGTGAAAAAATATTTTTAACGTAAATTAAATATGAATGCATCTTTAACATTAATCAGATATGAAAGCAATGTAGTCAAAATAATATAATAAAGACGTGACCTTCACATGCTTCGGCGAAGCGAGTTCTTTTTAAAGCGTATAAATTGTTTGTACCCAGCCACGTGACATGAGATAAAATATCTATATCGCTAGTAAAGGCCACAGACTTCTATATACTACACTAGACCGCTAGCTCGCGTGATTTCAGCGTAGATAATGGCTACAAAATCTATGTACAATGGGGGTACTGTGGAATGCGGGTTTTATTGGTTGATTTTGACGATAAGGAGAGTTCATCCAATCATTGTCTATATACTTATGTACGTGCGCGACGATGCATGCGCAGATAGCAATTCAGCAGTTCAGCATAGTGAAGGTTATATGGCGGTTGACGGCATAAAGCACACATTAAAAGAAACGAAAACTAATATGCCAAAATATTGTGTTTTTCGCTGCCGAAATAAGGCAGACAAAGAAAAAAACCTTACAACTCAATCAGCTGTCAAACATGACGGCCATCTTGCATTCTTCAGTACCCCCATCTTCCCCCTCTATGACGACTTAAGTACATAGATTTTGTAGCCAACCGTACATAAGAAGCTAGCGGTCTAGTATACTATAGAAGTCTGTGGTAAAGGCACATTTAAAATAATGTCCTGCAGAGTCCACGGGATTCATACCACCTAAATAGATGAAGTGATTGACCTGTAAATAATATCATTATATCATATGAAGAAGAGACTTTGATACAATCAATTTTTATTAAATATAAAAAATAAAAATAATATGTACCACATTGTCATAAGTCGCCTGATCAACATTTTGAAAATTTAGAAAATCATTATTTTGAAAAATAGAAAATTTTTATAAAATACACATTTTTTACCAATAACTATTTTTTTATACACTTTAAACTTAAATTTATTGGTGATATTTTGTATGTATTTTACCTGAGTCAACTGCCACAATGACAATAACCTCGCCAAAACATACCACCTGTAAAACACAGTTAATAATGATATTTTTCATTTATTTTATTATTGGTCACTTTTCCCACTTTCGGTACAATAACTTTGTTCAGTAGAATAAGCTGCTTTGTAATAATCGAACGTAATTGGCTCTTATACTTATAAAACCAACAAATTAACGTCAAGTAGTGACAAGACAACTCAGTATTTGTTGTATTGAATGCGGCCGTTCACAACACATGCCACGGCGGTTCCGACGCATTTTCATTGCAGTGCGGTTACGGTGCATTTGCACGCACGGCGCTGCGATATTCACCACGTGCGCTCTCTGTGCGGTTATGATGGCGTTTTTCATGCAGTGATTGCACAGAGATGCCACTGTAAACGCACGCCGTAACTGCACGGTGTGCCTTCGCGTGCGATTGCACGTTTTGCTATCGGGGTTGAAAAGTTTCGAAAACATCACAGTGCAGACGATATCGTTTTCTCACTCTGTTAGAGGAAATGTGAGTTCTGCGCATGCACTGAATCGTGAGAGTGGGGGTCAGTGGGGATGCCATGGGGATGCGCAGAAACCATATTATAGCTAAAGCGAAGCTTGTAACGCAATATGTGAAGTTAGAAATGTTGAATAGAAAAAAATGTTATTTATGCAATCGCAAGCTGTCAAGAGAAGACCATATTTCGGTACATGGTAAGTCTTATAAAAAAAAGTATAAAAATTAGCATATAAAAAAGTGTTGAATAAAATAGGCGTTACTGAACTAGTTGCTGGATGTATTGCAGATGTATTGTAAATTGATATTATTTAACAAACGTTTCGACTTTTGTTTTAAGTCTTCCTCAGTGTGCTGTACAATAATTACAAATTCGGTAACGAAATTATAAA